AAAAAACTTTTCTTTAATTATTTTGTATGTAGGTCATAGTGGATGTGTTTATTTTTTATCTTCTAGTGTTGAAAATAATATCAGAACGTTTCATTTTGAGTAATAAGTCACGTAGTAAAATAGTACAACACAAAACGTATTAATAATTTTGCTCTAATTTTTTCTAAATTCCTCTACATTTATCCTGTAACAATTTTCAGAAAAACTTTTGATGCATTGTGGACATCTATAATTTCTAATAATTAATGATACAGTTAGGTGCTAGAGCGTGTAATAATTTGTATGCTTTGAATGCTTTTCAATACAGAGCAATAATTCTTGGTGGATATACTAATGAAGTCATGGTGAACACAAATCCATAGTCAACAGAGGGTGTGATAGTTGAACAAAGCTTTCCAATATTCAATACATTTACATGTTGTTGGTCAGCACCTGTAAAGTTCATCAATTTAGTAGGAATTCAACAATACACAACTGTCTTTAGGTATCCCCATAGCCAAATATTATCAAGTGGGCCATCCAAGATTTGTTTAGCTGTGTATCACATCATACTTTAAGATATAGGCCATTACTGTATTAAATGGTGGCTACATTAAGCAGATAGCCCCATCTTGTAATCATTGATTCGTGTTCCCCATGGTCTCATCGGTATATAAACCAATAATTATTGTTTCATAATGAATAGTGTTCATGTTATTGATGCTTAAACATGCTAAGAAAGTCTACAAGAACCATGTACATCATGGATTGTTTCAAGGTGAGGTGAATGACTTGAGTGATGTATTAAGATCCGAGTGTTTATAGACCCAGAATAGAACATAGCTGTAAACTTAGAGCTTGCTCAACATGCAAGTTAAGATCAGCTTTATCTCATTCTAAATAACACTGTTCAAAGTTTTCTGGCTTTAATTTCACAGTTGAGAATAGCTTTGAAATATTTTCAATCTAGACATTTTGCTCTTCAGAGGGAAGTAGTGATTAACACACTTTGTGAACCCTACAGAACTAAGTCAATATCTTTATCAGAAATACGTATAAGTAGCATTATGCAGATAAAGGTGAACAAAATAGAAGTGCTGAACTTGTACAATAATTGCTACCATTTTACAAAAAAAACTAATGCTTAAAAAAAATAAATTAGATTGTAAAAAAAAGTACTTAGAAAAGTAGTGGAATGATTAAAAAGTATAAAAAAAGGTACAGCTCATTTAAAAATATGCAAAAACAAAATAAAAAAATCAATATTTTTAATAACTATTAACAGTCATAAGAAAATGTAAAAGTAGAAAAGGTAAATATAATTGGACTTCAACATTCATTTTGCAACTTTCTTCAGATAAGTGTGGAAAATAGAGTAGCAATATAACTAATGTTAAAGCAGTTAGATCACACAAATTCAAGAGTACTTTACAGGAACAACAGATGAAAGTAATGAAGGAATATCTATGTTGAGAATTAAAAATCAGTATTTCTGTACTTTTAATGTAATAAACACCTCTTAAGTAGATTTACATTAAAGTATACTGTTAAATATTACCTTTATATTAGTTACAAAAACAAAGATTAAACACTTCAAACATGACTGAAAGTGAATTCTATCTTTTACAACTTAATATCAACCAGGTGCTTTTTAATTCTGGTTTTTATCTTATGTCAAATTTAATCTTGTGTTAAAGTTTTCACAGACAAAAAAAATGCAAGAAATTGAAAGAAAAGTGTTATCAGTGTTGTTTCTGTGTTATATCGGTGCTCTTTCTGTGAATTACTAGTGTAGAGGCATTTTACTAGTAAATATAAACAAGATTGAAGATCATTGTGACAAAATTTGTGACTTAATACAAGACAAGCATGACAAAAGATTGTAAGTAGGACTTCTAGCACAAGAGTGATTATTGGAGGAGTGGAAAATAAGTGCATTCTCTTGGTATTAACAGACAAAAAATGTTGAAGTGAAATTTTATGTCTATCTTGCTTTTAGGAATCAGGAAATGGCTATTCTTTTAGAATCTTTGGTTCCCTGTTGTTGTTTTTTCACTACCAACAGTAATTTGTTATTTGTTTCAAGAAACATTTGTGGGTATCCACATTTTTAGAAGGCACCATGCAACTGGCTATATTACCCTTCAAGAAACCTCCATTGATACTACACAAAGCACAGTCTTGCTCTTTCTGCTTAACCAAAGGGAATGCATTCTCCACTGAAAATGACATGGTGCATTCCACAAGCAGTGATATTTGCATAACTTCTATTGGGTGAAATAACTGGATCTGTTTACAGTAATATTATATTCACTTTCATGTTTATTTAGCTTAGTTGTTTTGAATGAATTTAATTTTTGCCTGTTTTTAAAGAATGGAATAATAGTGACTTTTTTTTTCCCTTTTTCATTGCTGCATTAGGACCTCAGGCATTTTTTAATGTGTTGAAGTGTGATATCTGTGATCATGGTTTATTAAGTAGTGCCATGTGGTGATTGGGTTAAGCTATGTTGTAAAGAAAGGTATCATTAAAATATATGCCATAGTTTTGTTGTGAAAATGTTGTTTAAAAATAAAATATTAAAGAAAAATATTCTTTCTGGTCATTTTTCTTATCAAAAGACAATAAGCAAAAAAATATGTTTATCATTAACATTGTAAGGGGGTAAATATGGAAAAACTATATGTGAAATTCCAGTATAATATAATGATCATAGTTGCCAAAACACCCTTTGTATTTTAATGCATAGACTTTAAAAAGGACACAATAGCATCAATAGACACAATACAGATTATGATATTGCAGTGACATAGATAATTATATATGATGCACAGACAGACTATGGTTGTTTATATGTATGTTGTCCTTGAAATGTATTTTAAAATATAATACATCATTTCTCGGGAACAATGCAAAACTAAGACAATACTACTGTTATATAAATCATTTTTATTACAAGCTTGATAGCATAATAAGAAAATAACGTTATGAATATGAGAGCAATAGGATGGTGGAAAGATAGATAAATAATTGATAAATATCGAAATAAAGAAGTCTGTTACTTAGTTATAATCATTTTGAAAGTTCCTAAAAGCTTTCATCCTACCTAAAAAGATGTTTATTGCCCAATGATTTTAAGGTTCTTTTAGTTTTTGATATGTCATTTTATTTTTAAAATATGGCAGTATTTATAATGAAAAATAATGGTTAAGGATTCTGTTGGGGGGCATTGCTCTCCCTCTAGTCAGCGGTTCTAAGAGTTGGTACCTGAACCTTAGGTTTTTGGACCTGACTGTTTCGCCCATGTGTCACATAAAATACCTTTGTTCAATTTGATACAAAGAAGTGATAAATATTAGGTCGTCAATAAATTAATGTTGCCTTTTTTTAGATGAAAAACCCGAACAACTTTATAAAAATAAAACATTTATTAAATGAAATAACCTCCATTATTATCGATGGTGCTTTTTCATCTTACAATCAGGTTGTTTATGCCCTGATTAAAGAAATCACTTGGCGTTGGTTTTTGGTGTTTAATATTCGCATAGATAATCCATTTTTGATCTCCGGTGCCAATTCTGTCCAAAAATGGTTAACGCGCATTATGCACCAGAAGAGACGAAGCAACGTTCACACGTTGGAAACTATGACCATCGGAGAGTTCCTGAGGCACCCAAACA